CATGCATATCATGAGGTGACATGGACATAACTCAAATCACTGCTACCCACCGATTCAGTATATCATCCTAATTGTATGTACTTAGAGGGCGGTAGTTGTCGCGCTACACATGTGCGAGATATATGGGTCTCATATAAACAAAGATGGAGACTTTGACTGTTGAGCAGATCAACGAGTACAAACTGAGACGTTTCCAAGCTTTAATTAGGCATTTGTTTAGATGATTGGAAGGTATCGAAGGAGTCAACAGCGGTAATCAGTGCAAGTCGCGCCCAGGTCAAATCTCATGCCTGTGATTTCCATTAGAAGAGCGCATTGAATTATGGGAAATTATTATGTTTATCAACATAAAGGTTGCACATGCGCAATGCGACGACTACCGCCTTTTGACTTAATCCATCAGTGATCATGTATTTTTAACATTACCTGCTAGTGCCGTCATAGTCCGAACCGATACCGACATAATCCACGCCAATTCTATTAGCAATGTACTCAATATGATCTGTAAAAAGATTTAAATAAAACAAAACATTAAAAGTATTGAATTTGGGCTTTTCAACTCATTTTGATAGTTAAGTGCAAAATGAAATATGAAGCTACACAGGGATTAACAGTGGGAAAATCAACATTGAGGGCGCTGTCACAAATATTAATCAGCGTCTTAGCATGGAACTTCTTGTGATGTAGCTCCGTCCCCGAGGTTAGGTTTTACACTACAATTTGAACTTCTATTCATACAAGAGAACACAAATATAACTTTTTGTAATGAAGGACATTCTTGTAATGATTTCAAATTATTTTATTAATAATATAACAGAATAATCAAACCACTTCTTGAACATTTAAAGATTTAGAGAACTGGATTCATTGGTTCTATGTGTATTATCAATCACATTTGCATATAAGATTTTTACATTGTCGTGATATCAGTAACTATAAACATCAATACTTATTTAGGGATACATGTGATCACCAAAAACATCCATATGTTGTTTTTCGGCCAGGAAATAATTGAATAGCAGTAGAATTAAGTATTGACACACAGAATAAATGTTCTATATATTCTACTAGTGTAAAGGTTTCTTAAGGTTTCATTAATATCAGTCGTAAAATTGTTTTTGATACGACAATTCATTAACCACATGAATCTACTATATATACTATAGGGTTATTGCGAGGATACCGCAATTGTATATTGCGAGTATAGACCAACGCGACCGTGAACTGTCTGAGGGCATACTTTGCATGCAGTCTCCATGTAATAATCTTATTAGCATACATCAATCTTATCCAATTGCTTGGCGTTACCAAGGAATCCCATAACTGAGGAAAATAACTTTGAACATTGAAAATGTCTGCCATCTTGGAAATGCTACCTAACATATGAAATTTTCTGCTTACAACTTTTTTTTAATCCTGTATGAAACATTTGCATTTAGGCCATTCTGCACACATTTTGTATGTCTGTTATCAGTCAGCTTAAGAGCTATTAAAATCAGTAGAAAAAACAGTCAATGTCAATTAAAGTAGCCAAGGTGTTAAAAAAAGTACTGGCAAATTAAATTCTGCATAGGTATTCTCTAACACATGCTTTTTGATTAATTTTGTGTACTTTTTTGGACTCAGTAGCCCTCTAAACTTAATATTACATGTAAAAACGTAAATAATCCATCAAGTTTTCGTTGCAAAGGCGTATTGGCTGTTCCCGCTCTGGACACCAACAGAATATTTGCTGTCAGCACTAAACACAAAGGAAAGTTTATTGTCTTAAAATAGGATTTAGATCATGTTTTAATCCAAATTCTCCTTGGAGAAGTTGTAAGCAGAAATTTTCATATGGATCATTCCATATTTATTATTTGCATTTCAGAAAGCCCTGTGATATACTGCAAAATAAAGTCACACTAACTATACCATGAAAAATGGACAATAGTTACAAATAATTATTAAATATTATTTATATTACAGAGAGTATGTACCAGCTACTTGACTGACATCACTCCATTCTTGTTTATTTGGATAACAATTCACAAAGTCTTCAACAAAGTTCACCATCACAATACCACCATTGTCTTTCTATCAGAAAATAAATAATACATTTTTCTACATGAAATATATATATACCGTAGTTGTCCGGGTAAGCACCCCCCCCCCCCAATTTTGATACAATAAAGAAATTGAGGCATACGCCAAGGGGGTCTTTGTTTACACTTGTAATAACAAAAACCTATTTTTTGTTCGTTGTATTAAGAGTTGTCTTCTTTGCAGTTTGTTGTTATTCTGATACAAATTTTTGAAAAATAATTGTCAATTGAGTAAAAAGAGGGATGAACGCAAAATAGCTATGACAGCAAAATAGGTAATTTCATGTTCTGCCTTAAGGGCAACGCATTCACCGCTGTTTACGTAATTTACATTTATTTTTCAAGATTTTTTATCAGAATCATAACAATCAGCAAGTCTACAATCAAAGAAAGCTTAGAAAGAACTCCCATGTGCTGAGAGTATTGGGACACATTAAAAATAATTCGAAATTACTTGTACTTGAGATATTGAAAACTGAAAACCAATTATGCAAATCAGAAAATTAATATGAACAGATTTGAGTGTAAAACTAATGAGGTCTGTGCAAAGTAACAGACCATCTATGTACCAAGTTTTATTGAAATGTGATAAGAACCAAGAAATTGTGCTAATTAGGAATTAATATGAACAGATTTTAACCCACAATTAATCAGGTCTGTCTATTGTCCTATAGCATCCATGTACAAAGTTTCATTGAAATGTGATGATTAGTACTTGAGATATCAGTGTGAAAGTTGAAAATTAGGGAATTAATACGCACATTTATTTACCCTGAAACTAATCAGGTCTCTGCATAGTCCTTGGGTATCTATGTACCAAGTTTTATTGAAATGTAATGCTTGCTACTTGTAATATCAAAAGCTGAAAATTATTTAATTATGCAAATTACGTAATTAATATGTACTGATATTACCCTAAAAACTATCAGGTCTGTGCAGTGTCCTATGATATCTATGTACGAAATTTCATTGAAATGTGATGATTACTACTTACCAAAAATTAGCTAATTATCATGCAAATTAGGTAATTGATATGCATGGATTTTTACCAAAACCTGCGCATTGGCCCAGAGCATCTATGCAACAAACTTCATCAAAAACCGATGTATGGTTCTTTAGATAGCAGTGGAACAGACGGACACATATACACATATACAACACACCCATAATTTACATACACACACACAGACACAGACAAACTACAACGAACGGCATAATTGCGTGAAATTAGTTTGGAACTGTCGGTCCGTTTGATTGATTGTGCGTTTGTCCTGCCAGACACCTGGTGCCGTCGATTGCTTGTTGGCCGTTATAACTGTAACAACAAACTGGCTACATTTTAAAAACAATCAGCGACGAAAAGGCGGAGGTTAATAAGACAAACCATTTTACTCAAAGGAGTGGTAACTGTGATCTCATTTGTGCTGAAGAAACCCGGAATGTGACACGTTTGTATAAAAACAAGATTTGGATGGTAACTGTTCGACAATTTTCGAAATATACCGATAACTAAATCATGTAATAACCTGGAGCTGCCTAACACCCCGGCCTGGCAACCCAGTCTGGCACCCATTTGAGTTCAGGAAGTGAAAGTTTCTCTGAACACGCGTTGAGTGTGTACAGTCATCATTGTTGTGAAAAACATTTGTGTGTGTGCAATAGTCCGGGAAATTTTGTTTTAACAAAATAAAA